AATAGGGGAAAAAAGACAGTCCCCCTACGACAGAATTCCTCATTTCTGGCCTAGCTCCACTCTCCGCCAGTTGAAAATTTTCTCTCTCCGGAAGACACTGCTTACAGTGCTAGTGCTGCAACCAGACGAGAATGTTATTTTTGTGGTCACAAACTACACCCCAGGTCGTGTTGCTCAGCCAGGGAAAACAAATACCCCAAGTGCAAGAAGAAGTGAGATTTCTGTAAGGTTTGTCGATCAAGTATTTTTTTACCTGGTTCGAATGCTCCTATTGCGACTAGTATCGTATCAACCACAAACCCTAATTATCTTTCAAAGGCTATATTAATGGTAAAAATAAACGGGGTAAAAACGAATGCTCTACTCAATACAGGAAGCTCAGAGAGTTATATTAGCGCTGATATTGCAAAAAGAAACAGATTTAAAATCGTAAATTGTAATAGTCAGGTGGCGATGGCAACCACTTCACTACCTTCGCAGGTTAGAAGATATGTTTTGGCCAGCCTAGAAATAAATCAATCTTACTACACAAACACCGAATTTTTCATGTTGGCAAATCTGTGCTGCGAGATCATACTAGGCTATAATTATCTCAAACAGCATTCTATTATTAATCTCCTTTCTTGGCGGGGGGACCTTAAACCGGCGTTGAACATCTGTGGTTTGACCACTATAAATATAATATAATACCCAGCTCTTTTCGAAAACTTAACCAAAAAAACTGTAAACCAGTGGCCACCAAATGTCGAAAATATTCTCTTGAAGAATTAAGGTTTATTCAAGCAGAAATAACAAAAAACGTTAAGAGAAGGAATAATCAAAGAAAGCCGATCGTCATTCTAGGGTCCAAGTATTAATATCGCCCTCTGATAATAATTTAAAATGGATGGTCATAGACTACTCCCAAATTATAAATAGGTTCAGACTCTTGGATGCATACTGTATACTCCGTACTGATGAGATGGTAAACGAGATCGCCAAATACAGAATATTTAGCACGTTAAACCTAAGGAGTGCTTACTACCAAGTGGCTATAGACCCTCAAGTTAAGCCTTATACGGCTTTTGAAGCCTGTCGACAACTTTATCAATTCCGACGGATTTCGTTTGTGGTCACTAACTGGGTTTCCAATTTTCAGAGAGTCCTTGATAAAATAATTCTTGAAGAAAAACTACAAGGCACCATTGCCTACATAGATAATATGACAATGTGAGACCATGACTTGGCCGACCACAATCGCAACGGTTTTTGGCGCCTGTCAAGAAATATAATGTTACACCCAAACATGACAAAAGTTCTTATGGGTCGACAAACATCAGTGGGTAAAGGAATCACGACCCTGAACGACTAAAACCACTGCTGAAACAATCTATTCCCAACACCATAGACGCCTTACGACGAATCATGGGTATGTTCGCTCATTAGTCTCAATGAATACACCTTTTTACTGAAAAAATACACCGACTTATGAAATTTACGAAATTTCCTTTACCTTCTCCTGCCGTTAAAACTTTTGAGGGGCTTAAAAAGAGATATTGCCGAGTCAGCCAACCCTGACATTCCACCTAGTAGTAGAGACCAATGCTTCCGACCATGTCATTGTGTTAAGGCAACCCTTGCGCTCAGTAGCGTTCTTCTCCAGAATATTTTGTCAAAATTTCTTAATTGGTCACTGCTTTAAATTAATCACTGACCAAAAGTCAGTCTCTTTTAAGTTTAATCCCAAGACTTCAAGCAAAACAAAAGATGAAAAAGATAGCCAGATAGAGCGTAAAGCTTTTCTGTTTTTCGTTTGACGTTATCTATCGGTCGGAAAAGTAAAATGCAATGGCGGGCACGCTTGTTAAGAGTGTCTGGGTCAATAAACAGTACCAAAGATCCACAAAAAGTTCACAATGATCGCTGTCATTCAGGTATCACGAGGATGATGCATGTAGTTCGAAGCTGGAATTTGCCTTTTTTTTCAGATGAGGACGTGAAACTAATAACAAACGGTTGTCAGATTTTCACTCAAATAAAACGATGGTTATATAAACCCGAACCGGGAACCCTAGTAAAGATACACAGCTATTTGAGAGGCTGAGCGTGGACTTTAAGGGCCCTCTTCCATCTAAATCCCGAAACAAATAATTACTAACTGTTGATGAGTACTCACGATTCCTTTTTGCCTGTTCATGTCCAGATATAAGTGCAACAACAGTCGTACGCTGTCTTTGCTCACTGTTCTCAATATTCGGAGTGCCAACTTATATTCATGCAGATCACGGAATCTCTTTTATGTCCAACCAACTAAGAAGATTCCTATTGCTACAGGGAGTGGCCGTAAGCAGGACTACGCCATACAATCCTCGGGTTAATGGACAGTGCGAGAGATACAGTGGCATAATATGAAAGACCGTACAGTTAGCAGTTGAAAACCAAAATTTTCCAATTAAATATTGGGAAGATGTAATAACCGAGGCTCTATGCGCTAAAAGAACACTATAGTGTACAAGAACAAATGCAACGCCTCACGAAAGGTTTTTAAATTTTCTAAGGCGAAGTTCAGCCAGGATCTTCCTCCCTTCATGGTCCTCACAGCCAGCAACTGTTTTACTTAGAAACCATGTTCGACAAAGCAAGTATGATTCTCCTGTGAGTAAGGTGGAACTGGTCCAGGCAAGCCCACTTTATGCACGCATCTAGCACCCCGACGAGAGACAATCGAACGTTTCCCTTGTCCCTCACCAGCGAGTTATCAAACCAGAGGGAGGAGCATCTCTCCCAGGAACCAATATTTCTCCATCTTGATAGTAACGACGACATAATGTCATTGAATTCTCCTGAGGGACATGGCCCCTGTATTGACGATTCAGAGATTGCCACCAGAATAGCTCCCTCAAAACGAGAGCATACTACTACAGACACTGATAATCAGCTTTCAGAATCAGAGCGTCCCACTCCAAAAATGAGACAAAACAATATGAGACGAAATACTTGTGGCCGACTGTTCCAGTAACACCTGAAAGCCCAGATCAGCTGCCACCGAGACGATCACAGAGAACTGTCAAGAAACCCAGTCATCTGGATGACAGTGTCGGACTAGGAGAAAACAAAGCCGGGGAGAATGTGGTAAGACAACCCGATTAACCACCACCGTCTTATGATTTGTGTAAATAAGTCACGCCGTCTTAGCCAAAACAGAAAGACTCTTCAGTTACATTCAATAAAAGCACAGTAAGCCGAAATAGACTCCGTGTTTTCATTACAAGAGGGATTTTGAATCCAATCATATATTTCTGTGCTCATTGATTGAAAATAATTGTCTATGTTTTCGTCGAGCACTTTCAGATGTTAAACCATAATAGGGATTAACGATTCATATCAAAACAAAATATTTAAAATAACATAATCAAAGTAGAATGAAAAGAATTATTTGAAAAAAGTTTAATACTTATTCTTTTATTCAAATACTAACGATTTAGCTTAGTTTGGTTTGGTTTGTTTCACGGCCTATCAACCCCAATGGGTTATTTAATGAAAACAAGATTTTTATTGCTGGTAATTTTTTTTTTTTCAAAAATATATTCTTTTTCAAAAAATTATTGCTGGTAAAAAAATTTTACCAGCAATACATTTTTTGGGGAAAAATATTTTCCCCAAAAATGTATTGCTGGTAAAAAAATTTTTTTAAAGAATATTGCTGGTATTAAAACCTATTTTTATACTTTAACTATTTGCCCATAGCTGGAACCCTGACAGGTGCTACCACCCAGGATTAGGGTGGACCTGGGAACACCAGCAATTAAGAGGTGGTTCTACGCTCCTCAAAAACTTCTAATCAAAGGCCTTGCTGCCGGATGTCGTCATACCCAGGACAGAACCCATTAGCATTACTACTCCCACACACATATGTATGTTTGGCATGACAATATTTTGCGGCTCATTGAAGAGGATCGAGTGGCTCACTAGTGTGCAGTGGCACGGTGGTTGAGAATCATTGTATTACGTGTATTTTGGAGAAAAATAAGTTTTTGGAAAAAGAAAATATTACTTATTTCCCTGCTTACCATTGTATCTTCTAGCTCTTGCTATCACTATATTTCTGAGTTACCCCTTTTAGCTTTTTTACCTATCAATAATATTTTCAGAGAACTATCTACTTGTCGCATTTTCCATTATTTAGGCTTAATATTTGTTACCCTTGTTTAAGCATCGAACGAAAATAGTATTTCAGTTGGTGATCATAATTTTATGTTAGCTCTGTATACAATATTGTTAGTTAAACATTCATCATTGAAGGAATATTTATTTCTGTTTCGGTAGCTGCATTTTCTTTTTTTCTTTTTTTTTTTCTTCATTTTTGTTATTTAAGTTGATGTCTTAATTTTTGTCATTTTTGTTTTCATTGTTAAATTTATCCAAAAACTTTCTATTGTTATAAGATATCAACTTTTCCATATTCATTACGCAACTACAGCTGGCTTTTAAGTTGTTTCTAATAATTCCCACTAACCGATTAGCTAGATTTGTGAATTCAGTCTTCACGGATGACTGGTTACTTTGGCCTTTTACCAGACTAAGCTACGCTTAAAAATGCCTATAGCGTATCGGTCTAATAAAAAGTCAGATAATGTAATGAATATATGTCAGTCTAGAGATTCAGAGCATCGATAGATCGATTCATAGTTTCTCTCTCTTCTCCAAACCATATAACTGTCACTCATATCAACCTGCGTTACTATGATTTATTATATTTATTATTTGGCAATTCTTTGCGAAATTCTTGCAAGAACCTCCACAAACGGCACAACCTTGAGTCCGTTGCACTGATTCTACCACATTTAACTATAAAAATGTTTGAAGAAAAGAAAGAAACCTTCAGTCGGGTGGCAAGGTAAAAGAAAGGTTTATTTGCCATTCATGTCAGTATCTTGGGTCGACATACCAGAGCGATGTGCAATAAGTGTAAGTATTGTCATCTCTTCTGTTCTCTTCTATTTTCGCCTGTCAGCAACACAATGCTTAAAGAGAACGTCGAGCAACTTCTCTCTTCCTATCGACTGTTTTCCATTTCTTCGACAGAGAAATCTCTGAAGATTTCTTTTCCTTCTGACAGAACGGGATTGGGTTGATTTTGTTGTGATGCCATGTCCGGCCGGGCCCTTAAAACAGATCAATTTTGCAGAAAAGAAAACAGAAAAAATTTAAAACTCAGAAGAGAGAAAACATATCTTTGCAAATGTCAAGATATGAACACAAATGATCAATTTTGGTTAAGAAAATAAATAAAAATAAACAGAAGAATTTACGATAAATCAAAAAGTACAAAATAAAAAAGGTAGACTTCCTATAAACATTAAATCCGAGTTGAAAAAAAAATCTGTCTTTTCTTTCTTTTCTTTTTCATGGAGAAGAATATTTCTATAAATTAATAAAATGCTCAGTATAAAACAACGATTCATGTTCGTTGAAAAAGCGAAAGAATTAAAATATCCATGAAACAGTTTTTAACCAAGTTTGCTTATGCAAGTATTGCTGACAAAATGCAACAAAAAAGATCGATTTTGAAGACATGATGTTTACAAGGAGAAATTTATTATCGTTTTTATTAGTCGAGTTTTCACACCTGCAAAATATGTTGGCTTTCAGTAGAGATCAAGTGACATTAAGTCTTTTCAGTCCTCGCATATACTATTTCGTATTCTTGCTAATTATTTTTCATTTGGTGCTTTTATTTCTATTTCGAATTTTAATTCATCCATTGTTGTTGCAAAATCCTTCGAAGTGTTCTAGATGGATACAATGGTTACCTTAGCGCTTAATTTTATTTTTCATTTCTCTAGAAAATCATTTCCCAAATTATTATCCTCTGTAGATTTTATCCCATCATTTGCTGAAATAGTGATATATGATAACAGTTAACTAGAACGTGTCAGCAAGATTGTGCTTGCTGACAAGATCTCGTCTCTTGGCTCGCATTGGGTAATCATTTAAATTCCTATCCCAAGAATTTTACTTTTCCTAATCATTCTAATGCTTTCCTCTTTTGGTAATTCGATCTTTTTTCTCGTTATTCTTTTTCTCTTGTTCGTTATCAGAATTTCGTATTTGTCTTTATCTTTTCTTATTCTCTTGAATAAAACAGTTTCTTTCTCATCCCGTTTTTAAAATAGTCATTGTTGCCCAAGACACATTTGGTATAGAGTGATGTTTAACACTATCTCGATCTAGTCTACTCGAGAGATTCTTTAAGATCCACGCTGTTTAAGACCAGGAGAATGACAGTCTGAACAGTTTCATTAAGAAGCAACTAAAATTAAGATGTAAGTTATACTAAACGAAACTAATAATGCTTACAGCTATTCGATATTACAAAAAAAAGTCATGGATGATGTGAAGTTTCCTCGACCCACTAAGTACGTTTTATTCTATTCCTGCAACAATTATTCCATTTGAGTCAGTTTCTTTTTTCCTGGATTTAGACTTTAGTCAAGTAGCTATAACTACTTAGAATGTTTAGAAACTGCTTTAAATAACAATCGAAATATTGAAAAAATCACTAATGACTCTCAGTTGTTCATGGGTCTTTTGTGTTCTTACGTAAATGATTCTATCCAAAAGGCAAATTTAAACAGTGATGTCGTTTGAAACATTTACCACTTCCCTTTGTAAATCGCCGCCTTTATGAGACAGCATGTGTAACTTTAGTTAAATGATGAGTTTAAATAAATCATGATTATCTTTCAATAATCAATCTCCTGTGGCTGTTTTTAGTAGTAACGTGTGTAGATGAGAACATTCGTATACACAGGTACGTGTGTCGGCATGATTCATTTCGATTTCTTTCTTTTTATTCTTCCATATATATTATATGTCAGTCTCGTAAGTCGCCTCATGATTTTAAACAAAGAAAAAATTCATTACGCCATATAGATAATTTTAACTCCAAACATATTTACCGAAATTTAGGTATATACAAAAATATAAAAATATTTGTTTCGTTTATGTTCGTGTATAAGTCGAAAATTTATCGCAAAACTGAAATAAATAGAACAAAAACATGCAGACATTCCACGCTCGTATGTATGAAAATTTACAAAGCAAAGCTTAGATGTGACACAAGGTCGAAAGTATGGATTATCCAATGAGGATCAAACTTACAACTCAGTCGTAATTGTTCTAGCGAGAAAAGCTTGTTAACCATTACATAAATGTCGAAATGCCCTGTGATTTTTAAACAAAGCTTAGACGTGGCACAAGGCCGAAAGTATGAAGCACCTAGTGATGATCGAACTCACTATTAAGTGATATAATGAGACAAGCTTGTTAACCATTACATCACATCGAAGTGCTCCTCGCTCGTATATATGTTTTACATTAATCCTAATATTCAACGCCATAATAAAAGGACAATGTAGCAACGTAATTCATGTTTATATTCATATAATTCTACCAAGTATAATTTAAATATCTGGCAAGTGTTTTAAAGGAGGACCGAATTAAAGTGTCATGATGCTATAAAGCATTTCGCGATTAATATTCGGTTGCATTTTTTAAATTCACAGACATGCCCGTCGGGTGTGCACGTTTAACAGGCAAAGGAGTTCATAAAAATTAGTTTAGAAACAACATAAAGTTGATTAACAGTCCATTTCCGTCTTGTTGCTGTTACGCGTCACAGCATTCCGGTCTCGGGCTTTTCTTAAATACAAGTGTTACTACTGAGTTACGTTTATTCGGTCTATTCATCTTCGGGAAAAAGCGAAGTGTTATCAGCAACAATTTTAGGAGCCACGCTGAAAGAAAAATATCTGAAATGTTGTGAATATAGTAAAGATTTCTTTCATATTCATAAACAACTAGCAGCATGGCCCGGCGTTGTCCGTCCTTGATTCAAAAATTGTACGACTCATACAGCAATCGCTATCACTTGACTTAACATATTTTTGCCCTCCCTTGCCTTTAAAAGAGTGCCCTTGCCGTGCTGATGTTGCTACATGCCTTACTTCTTGCCTATCTCACACTGCGAATATTTTCTAAGCTCTATACTAAACATTAAATCTGTTACGAAAAAAGAACTAAACAAAATGATCAGCTTTAAAAAAAGGACTCGTAACTGGAAAAACCAAATGAAAAAAGAATGTTAACAACAAATACTTTTTCACACCCAACCCAGTTCTGCGGAATCAGAATCAACGTTGAGTTTAAGCAAGCGACTGAGCCAATTGAACTAAAGTGCCATGCAGATTTAAATTTTTCCCACTTGTGACGAATGCAGCTATCGATTTTTTTTGCATGCTAGCAATTAGCATGCTAGTTAACATTCGTGTCAGTCAGCTGTTGGCTCTCACGCTGGCCAATAGAATCTTCCTGCCTATTCGTGGCTCTCACTCTGGCCAGTACAAAATGGCCGCAAACTACATAAAAATTGCCGTAGAAGCATGAAAAAATCGATTATTTCCACTATCGATGGGAGTTGAGAAATGCAATGTCGGTCTTGGCCTGCCCGCTAACTTGGAGCATGTGCATGTAAATTTTGATGCAAATCTGTCGAAAATTGCGGTCGTGCCTTCGTTACACACACACATCCTGTATTTTATAGACAGAGATAAAATATCAGTTACACATAAACATTAATTCATACCCTCTCAGAACATGTATGACGATACTAAAGAACTCCATAAATAGACCTAGTATAAGTGCTAATTGTAATGAATACTTAGAAAATGTACTAAATAGGAAGAAAACAAAATAAGTATCATTTCAGGTATTTTGTTTCCTACGAATGCAATTAATTGGCCCTATTTAGCACCGATTGTACAAAATTAAAATACACAATATTGTTTTTAACAGTTTTAATCCAAATTTTTATACGCTTGAACATATCGCAAATGCAGCAAGTTGGATCTGTGAATTGTTCTAGTTAAAATAGCGAGCCTTGGTAAGATGAACGAAAGGCATGAGAAAATTATAAACTTTGATCAAAGACATTTAAACAAGATTGTAAACAGCTGAGAAGGACCAGAGAACTTACCAATCACAATTTTGTGATGAAAACAAAGATGAAGATGATGACAGTTTTTGAAGGTTTACCGTATCAATATTGTCAGTTTATTTTATGAGGTCATGTGTGTAAATTTCACCTTTTTACAAACATCAGAATGATCTTAAGTGAAAAGTATATTTTGCTTACATAGGAAATAAGAGTTGAATTTTAGTAACGAAATTTTCCATTTAATTAAAGTATACAGAATAAAAATAACAGTAAACAACAGTTTATTTACAGAATAATATTGTGTCCTCAGGTGACTGCCGATCTGATTAACCTTCAGAGAATTTCGATATGAAAACTTTATTCAATCTACTGAAGTAGATTGTTTTCATTGCACTCTTCATATCTAAAGATTTCGACTTCGTTAATTACTCAGTTTTTACTAAACTCTTTTCTACTGAAACTGAGTAAACCCCTACTACTGAACCCAGGAACTGAACTCACAATTATTATATCATCAGCAGCTGAAGAGGCAAGGAGAACCCTAAATTTAAATTCTACTCTAAGGATTGTCCTGCAGAAAAATGGCCAAGATGAGTTGATTAATGAAAGATTGGAGTCGTAATAACAAAGATGAGGACATTGTTTAGTCATCAAAATATGTTTCCTTTTTTCTTTCTTTTTTTTTTTTCATTATATTACCCCAATTTTTTTTAACGAGAGCGAATTGTTTCAGATGTGGTCATGGCAAAAGTTACTCATTTCATACAATTTTTTTTTATTTATGTAATTTCAGTGCATCATTATCAGAATTATTTTCCATTATTCAGTCCTTTAATTTTTTCTATGAATTCCTCCGAGCTCATGCCACCTTTTTGCTAAACAGTTTTTTTCAATGCTATGTCCGTTTATGGTAATCATGGCTCTCCACAAATTCTTTTCTTTTATTATCTTTAAATTCCCTTGACTCCTTGAGAAATATAGTGGACTTATCCCCGTTAATTATCCACGGTTTTGAATTCAGAGTTGACATTCTCCTAGACTGGCTGCCACACTTGGCTCAGAAACCTAGTCTATCCAAGTTATTTAATCTATGGCTGGGGACTGGGGAAAAGAAACAATTTTTTAAGGCTTT